AAAACAAATATATTCGATATAGAAAAAAATATATATAATAGGTATAAATAACCATAAAACTAATAAATATATACAATATTTAACTATTAACTATTAATAATAAAAAAATTAATATTAATAATAATAATTAAGAAAATACAACAATCTAAAAACTTTATATAGCTTTAGAAGTTAAAATTATATAATAAACCCTTATATACAATATTACTACAACACTGCACCTATTCATTATTTATTTAAATTATTTAATATATAGCCTTAAAATATTTCTTTTACCCTTTTTAAATATATTTTTAATAGAAATTTACCTTATATATTTAAATATAAAATTTTATAATTTTATATTTAAATTAAATTATATATTTATTATTTTTTTAATAAATATCTTAATATATTATAAAAGAAATTATATTTTTTTATTAATATATTATAATATATTAATATTAAGGTTATTATTTGGTTTTTAAAACGTTTTAATAGAAAATTTATTATATTATATTATAAAATTAAATTTATATAATAATTATATAAAATATAAATAAGATATATTTATATAATTTTAAAATAAAAGTTATATTTTAATAATTGGGGTTAAAATATTATATAAAATATATTTTTTAATAAATTTATATTTATTTATATTAATTTATAAAAAAAATATTAAATAATTTTATATAATTATTATAAATTAAAATAATAATTATTAATATAAAAAAACTATAGTTAAGTATTTTAAGGCTTTTTTTTTATTTAACCTTAAAATAATAAAGATATAATGTTAAAAAAATTTAATAAATATATTATATTTTTTTTAAATAAATATATTTATAAGATTTTTAATTTAATATTTTAAATAAAAAATTTATTAATTTATAATAATATTAATATTTAATAATATTTTAATAAATTTAAAATTTATAATTTATTATTATTTAAAAATAGTTTAAATTTAAATTTTATAAAAAATATATAATATTAAATAAATAAATATTTTATTAATATTTTTTAAAGCCAAAATTTTAATATTAATAATTAAAATTTTATTTTAATATTAATAAATTATTAATTTGGATTTATTAGAAAATAATATTAAAAATATACCAAAATTATTAAAATAAATTATTTATATAAATAAAAATTTTATATAATTTTAATAAAATAATAATTATATAATATAATATATTTTTATATTTTTAAAATTTATATTATTATAATATTATAATAATAAAAATAAATTAATAAATTAATAAATTAATTTTATAAATTTTTAAATAATAATAATAATTTAATAGAATTAATAAAATAATAATATAATTTTAATAAATTTTATTATTAAAAAAATTAATATATAAAATTTAAGAAATTATTTTAAATTTTTTCTAAAAAATTTTATATTATTAAGGATATTTAAGGCATTAAAGAATTTTAAATATTTAAAAATAATAATATAATAAGATTTTATTTTAATTATTTTATAAGGTTATTAAATAATATTAATATTTTTATTTTTTAATAATTTTAAATATATTCCTAATATATAATTTTGGAAATAATAAGATATTATATAAATATATTTATTTTATAACTTAATTTATAATAAAATTATATTAATTATTAATTTATTATTAATTGTTTTTAATTTAATTTATTATATAATATAATTTAATTTTTTAATTTTTATTTTATAAATATTTTAATAAAATTAATAATTATTAAATTGTAAATTTATTTTATATATTATATTATAATATTAATAATTTTTCTATAAATTTATATAAAATTATTGTTAAAAGATTTATATATTAAATTATTTAAAATAAATTATTATTATAATTATTATATAATTATATAAAATTAAACCTTACGTTTATAACCTAATAAATTAATAAAAAACTAATATTAATTTCTTAAATTAAAAATTATTACCTTATAATAATTATTAATATTAAAAAAATAAATAAAATAAATAATTAATTTTATATTATATATTATAAATAAATTTTTAATATTTAATTTTATAATAATATTTTAATTTAATATTTTATTTATATTATTAAAAATTTAAAATAATAATTTATTATTAACCTTTATAATAATATATAAAAATAGTTAAAATTTAAAATTTAATTAATATTTTTTTTATTTAATTTTTTTAATTATATTATAAATTAAAATAAATTTATTATATTAAGTTTAAAAATTTATTTTTTTAAAGATTTATAAATAAAATAATAAAAAATAAAATTTAGGAAAACGCATGCACTCGCAAGCTCGCGCAAGCGTTTTCACGTGCTCGTAGGCTCGCACGGTAGAATCCGTTGGAGACATCTAAATATCTTGATGAATCTCAGCCAATTATTTTCTTTATTAGCTTATCAATTTCTTATCATTTATTGAAGAATTACTTATCAATTATTTATCAATTATTTATCATTTATTTATCAATTACTTATCAGTTTCCCATAATAATTTCCAAAAGTTTGAGCGTAAAAAATGTCTCCGACGGATTATATTATATTTATATAATTAATTTTATTTTAAAAAATAAAAATAAATTATTAATATATTATTTTATTTAATTAAAATATAATTTATATTATAATATTATTAAAATATACCAATTTAAATATTAATAGGTAACCAATTTTACGCTAATTATTATAAAATTATATTAAAAATATTAAATTAAAGTAAAATAGCGGATATAATAAATTAAAATTATTTTTAATTAATTTATTATAAAGATATTAATAAAATATTATTAAAAATTATATATTATAATTAAAAAAAAAAAAGAAAATATTAATATTATTTAATTATTGCTAAATACAATTAGGTAAATAAATAAAAATATATTTTATTATAATTTTAATAAATAAAATAAATTTATTAAATGTTTAATATTAATTAAATATTTAAAAATAAAAATATAAATATAATAAATTAATTATTTAACCATTAAAATTTTTAATATTAATTAATAGTAAAGATTAAATACTTTTTATAAGTTTAAAATTATTATTTTAAGATTTATTATTATCTTTTATTAATTTATTTTATTTAAATATTTAATTTTATTAATTATATATTATAATAATAAATAATATTTTAATTTAATATTTATTTTAAATTTTATTTTATATTAAAATTAAATATAATAAATTATTAAAATAAGTAATAATTAATAGTATTATAAATAAAAGAAATAATAATAATAAAATATATTAATTTAAAAAATTAAATTAATATAATAAAAAAAAATTATAAATATAAAATAATAAATTTTTATATTTATTAAATATAATATAAATTATATATTAATTATTACAGGTTTTATAATTTAATTTTAAATAATAAAAAATAATAAATTATTTAAAAT